TATGGGATCCGTCGCCGAATTCAACCATGAGGGTGATGACGCCCTCGGCGTCTATGCTGTCCCCCGTGAATCCGGAGAGGGGGGTGTTGATGTGCCGAAGGGATCCCCTGTCGAGTCTCAACTCTTGGAAAGTGCTTAGGTACATAACGTTGACAGAACTCCCCATGTCGACGTACGTCCGGAGGATGATGGCGTCATTAATCTCTGTGCGGATGACGAGAGCATCCCTATGAGTTAGGGAGCCCGAGGGGAGGTCCGCATCTGTGAAGAAGATGGGCTCCCCCCTCGGCCTTTTAGTTGGGGGCATGTGGTTTACTTCCCCGATGTAGAGGGACTGAGCCCATTTCTTTCGCTGGCTGGTGGAGTCTCCACCAGTATTGCCACCATTAATCATGTGGATGTGGCGCTTGTATTGTTGATGGGAGCCCTCTCCCTCGTCACCGAGGCCCCCAATTTCACGCTTCTTCCCCTGTGGGTTTCCCAAGGGGACGATGTTGGGGTTTACACACTTATTCGCCTTCGGCGGGGGCAGTTGAGGATGAGGGGGACCCTGGGGAGGAGGGCCCCTGATAAACTGAGACAAGTGGCCCGCCTGTATCAGCCTTTCAATGGCGTTTTTCAGCTGATGGCAGTCGTCGGTTCTGTGTCCATGGTGGCGGTGAAAGCGGCAATAGGGCTCATCAGGGCCGACGGCATAAATCTCGAGGGGTGTACGGGAGTCTCGCTCCACGAGCCCTCGCTCTTCTGCATGATCCAAAATGACGCTGACGGGATGCGTCAGGGGGGTGCGTGGGTGCTCAAGGAGGACGGGTTGCGCCCATGCCTTCGGATTGTTCTTGTAACCGCCCCCGGATCTGGCTTGGCCACCTTGGGAGCGATCGTTGTATTGCGCCTCTCGGTTGGCCGGAGGGGGAGGCCCTCCGGGCCGATTCCTTCCTTCATTCTTCTGGGAAGGATCCGTGTTGCGGCGGTCTTTCTCGATTTCTTCCACTTCGGCGTACCGGTCCCCTCGCTGAAGGGCTTTTGTATAATTGCGAGGGGGATCAGTGATAAGGCTCCGGGAGAAGTTACCGTTGCGAAGGACGGTGTGGAAGAGAGCCATCAGATTTCTGTCATCGGCGCCTTCGACCTCGAGAGAGGCTTGCCTCCAGCGCTCCAGGAAACTCCGAAGGGTTTCCTCCTTCTGTTGCCTTACGTTTAGAAGGTGGGAGAAGTGTTTCTTTGAGCGATGCCTCCCAGCAAATTGCGTGAGAAAGCGGTGGGCAAGTTCTTGCCAAGAATCGATGCTGCCTTCGGGCAACCGGTTGAACCACTCATACGCTGGTCCCTCCAAGGTGGAAAGGAACCAACGGCATAAGTATTCATCCGAGGCCCCCATCATCATCATACTGTTCTGATACCTGCTGTAGTGCTCTTGGGGATCCGTCTTCCCCTCGTATGGCTTGATGGGCTGCCCCCGGTATTTATGGGGGATTTTGGCCGCCAGCACCCTTGGGGTGAAAGGCGTCCTAGTGCGGAGTTGAATGAGGGGCTCGCCGGAGCCTTCAGCAAGCTTACGCTTCATTTCTTCCACCTGTGCCCGGAGGTCAGCGTACTCCAGATCTGGCCTTGCTGTGGAAGCCGTCGGGGGTGCCTGACGATTCTCCTCAAGTTGACGGAGGAGGGCTTCGATGATTTCGTCCTTGGGATCCTTCGGGGCAACCCCTTGGGAGTTGGCTCGGAAGGATAGCACCTGATTGATTTGGTGCCTGGCATCATCGGCATGGAGGAGGGCTTTGCCTTTGCTTCGGGGGGGGGGGGGAGGCACGCCCTCGGCTCCCGAAGCGGAGGCTCCACTCTCCTGGGGCCTGCTGAATTCCTGCTTGCCGAGGCGGTCTTGGACCCCTCGGCGCCCGGGAACTCCCCCCAACCTCTCAAGTGCAGAGGTCCGAGGTTTCTCCTTCATCATGGGGCGCTTATCCCTGGATTGGGCCTCTTGGGAGGCGGTATCCTGCGCCATGACCCCCTCGTCGTTGCCTATCCCCGGGGGAGGATTGTTGGACAAAGGAGGGAGTGGTGGCAGTTGGATAACATTTCCTCCAGCATAGGGTTGAAGGGGTGCTTGAGAGACGAGGGCTCCGGAATTGAGAGCCATGTTTTGAACAAAGGCCGCAAAGGCAGCCTGAAGATCGATGGCCGGGGCCGGAGGGGGAACTTGGTTCTCACTCTGATCCCTCCTTCGATTATCAAGGCCAATGCGGGCATCAGGGGCGTTTTTCTGTAGCTGCTGACGGAGGTCAGCAGTAGCCTGCTCCAATTCGAGGATGATACCACCCTCGTGTACTAAGAGCCTGTTGGAGGCCTCTGCCCTGTTGGTTTCGCCGGGGGCTACGTGGTTCTCCTCAAGAGTTTTTGATTGAGCACGAGTTTTTCCCATATTCGGTAGGTGTTTTGAATTTGGTAGAGGGGGAGGGTTTCTTACTTGATTGTTCAGACCTCTCAACGAGAGCACCAAATGATGGACAGTCTACCCGGGGGGTATCTTATCCGAAGAGTTATTGCAGGAACAACTAGAGAGAAGTCAGAGTAAATAGGAGGAGAGAGAGTCGATTTTATTAAATGAACTCAGCGTAATTTACAAGGAGAATAAGGGCTGCTATTTATAGCAGCAATAAATGCGATGAGAGTACACATGTCAGTAATCCAACGGCCGAAGGGTCACATCAATCGGGCGGCACTGGCAGTGGCACGTTCACCGCATTGAATGCGGTGGGTGGATGTGACGTCGCATTAAATGCGGTGGTTGGTTGTCTCCAAAAGAAATCTTTGATGATTGAGTAGCTGGCCGAAGGCTTCCCCTTCGGCCGAGGGCTCTATGTAACAGAAGGTGTGTGGGTGCCGAAGGCTCCCCTGTTGGCCGAGGGCGTCCTGTGAGCCGAAGGCTTCTGGTAGCCGAGGGCCACCATCGTACGCCGTTTTCTCCCAGTGGCTTCTCATGCTCAAAACTGGCTGCCCTGTGTGATTCGGAGCCTTCGGCCAACGAGGCCGAAGGCTCCCCAGTGTGTATCCTGGGCTCCTTTGAGGTTTGGGCCGTCGTATTCGGGCTTGAGATGTTCACCGGGCCTAGTGGGCCTTTGTAGGAGAAGTAGGAGTCTATGGGCCGTGGGTTCCTGGGCCATATACTCCATCAGCCATTATTCTTGAAAGTTGAAACCTACCTTGCTTTCTCCACATGCCCTTCCTCACAATGTTTCTTAACTAAAAACTTGTACAAAGCAGTCAACGGGTGCATCCCCAACTTATGCATGTAAACTAAAATGAATAAAGCACCACTTATTTTACCTGTCTGAGACAGGGAATAGATCAGTATCTCTAAAGTCATGTATGGTCTTGGCCTACAATCCTACACCTTATCACAGTGTCCCCACCTACGGTGATGTAAGGGGGGTCGGATGTACACAACCTTACCCCTGTTTAGTAGAGATTGTTTTCGGATGACCCATAGTGAAAATCGCGTCCAAATTGCGTGAATTGACTGCTGCTTCATAATTAGAAGCGTAGATAGTTTTGTGACCCATTTTGTTTTATTCCATCATATATTTCGTGTACCAAACCACAGCCCACTGCCCACCTATCCTTCATAAACAACTTTGATTCCTTAACACGCCCTTCCTCAGATAGTCTCTTGATTAAAACCTTGTGCAAGGGCCACAAGGCAGTTGATGGGTGCAACCCTTATTAGCCATATGTTGGAACGATCTATAAGCTTTCAGAAACATCCCACCATTTTCACAAAACCACTAATCGAGATGTTGTATGTCACTGGAATGAACACATCCCCTATAAAGCAAATTCGTATACAGCCTTTCCACCTCTCACGCATCACCATTTTTCAAGTACCCATAGATCAGTGTATTATGAGCATATTTATTCGGAACAAATACAAATTTCTTTAAATTAGTGTGCAGAGTTTATTTTCTTCCAAAAATATGGTGCTAAATCAAATCAACTCGATTTGTCATATTTGATTTGTTGAGCATTTATACGAGCTTAATAAAATAAATTTGTAGGCAATACTTATATCAAAATTGAAAAAAAAGTAAATGATGGACCTCATCCATTCAAGAATCAAAATGTGAACTTTCCTTAACAAGTAACTTGCAAATCAGAAACTACCAACTCTTGTAACTATAAAAATAAAAAACAACTACGGTAAGAGAGATCAAAAGATAACAAATTAAAATTTGAGCAATAGAAACAGCGTGTTTATTTATTTATTTATTAAATTCCATCTGTTCCTTAATCCGGCCATGGATGGTCATTCTTTTAATCAATGGAAGAGGTGGTGTGCCTAGACTCGCGGTCCCGTTTTATTTTTTATCGATTGTAGTCAAGCTGCATATACTGCGTACTCGCGTAGTGACCAACTTGCTCAACATTTTATATGAAATCAAATTTCATGCACAGATATAAAACACATTCAATTTCCCACTGATTTTACTCTCTTGTATCTCCGTTTTTGGTCGGTGGTAGTCGATCACTCGAAGACCATGGTCAGCTTACTATTGAATATTGATGATGAAGATGCATAAATGCATTGGGTTGGGCGTTTGAGAACTCAACTGTTAGATGAGGGATAGGAGATTGGAGAACTTGCAGCAAGGCAACAACGCTATCGCACAATCAATCAAACATTAGAATTGAAGTACTTTCAATTAGCTATGAAGTACACTGTTAATTATTAGCAATTTCATGGGTTTTTAGAGACCCCCACATTCTCACAAGGGTTATAAGCTTCAGAGCATGATGTCAAGAGACTTCTTTGCCTCAAGTCAGGCCATGTGTCACACTGTCACCTACTCACCTATCTTAGAAACTTCTTTGTGACAATCAGCTTAAGAGCATCAATGATAATCTGATCTTGATAATTAAAAATCATTAAAATTCGAATACAATGCATAAGTTTTTTCCTACTACTAACCGAAACAAAATAACTCAATTCATATGATGAAAACATGGAGAAATGTGAACTCAGTTAGTGATGGGATTTAAAGAATATGAATTCGGATTGTTTATACACCAAAATAAAGGCATGCTGCAAGTGTTACTAAGCTAAGTACAGCAGTACAGCTATGGGGACTAGGCCATAGCAAGAGGTGTTTTGTACACTTTATGTGCTCAATAATCCCACATTACCCAAATGAACACTCCATATTATAATTTACTATGCTATTATTTGGATCACGGCACATAATTGTGAGACCTCAAATGATGGTTTCCTACTTCACTTTTTCTATCATTCCCTCAAGTCCATCCTTAGGTAATGTGAAACTCCATTACAGTGTGTTGCCAAAAAAATGAGATGACACGAACCAAACACTCCTTAGGACTTTAGCCAAGTTATGAAGGCTAAGATAGCATGTCATATAAAGAGATGCTTCGGCATAGTGATTGCAGTGATCAGACCAACAAGTAACAATAACGAAATGCAATTTACAAAAGTAGTAGATGAATTTGCTGACAAGAAGACTTTGTGCACTTCGCTGTCTCCACGAAACCCCCTCACAATCATTGCCTGAAAACACAAGATTTTTTTAACATTATTTTTATCATATTTTAAGTGAATGTGACTTTTATGTGGGAAAATTTGACTTTGCTCCCCACTTCATGATGAAATTCGAGTTTACATTTACACACCATTTTCAAAAAGTTAATGTGTGCAGGCGTGCAGCACCCCCAACTCTTTGAGAAATTAATATTTGCATCTTGTCCTGTAATCCTCTTACAGATTTTTGAAGATATGTGCGCTCCATCTGTTTTAACAAATTAATACTTGCACTCCATTCTCTTATAGATTTTTGAAGAGATTGGGTACAAATAATATCTATTTTAAAATTAGTATGCAATGTCCAATTTTGCCCAAAAATAGGGTGCAAAGTCAAATCCTCCCGATTTACGTTATATTTGGTTTGTTGAGCATTTATATGAGAAATACTACAGTGTTGATTTCTATACTCAAACTAGGATTGCTTTAAAATATAAAAGAAATGCTAACCTGAGATATCTGCTCTGCATGGGCGAAAATATTCTTGAATATCCTACGTATGTATGTGACAAATACTGCAATTAAATGGATAACATATTTCAAGACAGAACACAAACAGTTAGGCACGTAGAAGATGTTGATCAAGCATCAGGACCATGTTGGAATTGGTGTTCACCATTGCCTTAATCCCGACAATGTTGGATTGGTAACATGAAATTTAGTGTTGACTACTTATCCAAATGCAGTTAAGCAGATCAACAAAATAAATTAATACCCAAAAAAAGACATTATGGAAAAGTTCAATGCTCATGCTCATGACCCTCTGTCACAACATTCTTACGAAATATATTATGAACTTCTGATGCTGTCATCATCACTGTATCTTTCTTTTAATTGCATGGAATATATAATGGGACGAAAATGAATAGAGATGGTTGTTGTAGACTTATAGTCTAGTCCAACTAGTAAAGGATTGATATTGCAATAGCACTATGGATTTCATGGAACATTACAGTAGAGTTAAATAATTCTTAATTTGTTACCACACGTAAGCATCTTTGCATATCAGCCATACTAACCATCAATGGTCTCTAAAGTTGTCAACTGCCCCCAATTTATCCTTCGGGATACAATCCCAAGAGCAACATTACGAACCTGTCAATATTTGAGAGTTAAATTTCAATAATAAGCTCATGAATGGTCAATTATATTGGATAGGCCGCACCAAAAAGCTAGCTTAGAGCTTACTTTGGGCATAGTGGAATGGCAAGCACAATAATCACAACAATCATGATGCCGATGGTGAGACATGGTGTAGGCAGTAGAGCAAATTGTGTGGGTACAAGAACAAAAACATTACCCTAGTGCCGTAAAGGCTCCCACCTACGGTGGGGTAAGTAGGGTCGGATGTACACAACCTTACCCCTATACTAAAGTACAGCGAGACTGTTTCCGGATGACTCATGATGAAAATCACGTCGAAAATTGCATGGACTAACTGCTGCTTTATAACAAAGAAGCACAACCATTTTGCCATACAAACAAAGGTTTCTACTAAGCTCGGGATGGGTCCAGGTCTTGGTTAGACCACCCATGTGACCTGCCTACGGCCCTACGCCCATCATGGTGATGATGATGACAAAAACAATAATAAGAATAAGAAAAACAGAAACACCAATAGCAAATAGTACTAAGAATAAAAATAGCAGCAACAAGAATAAAAAGCTGAAAACAGCAATAAGAATGAGTAAATTCCGCGCACCTCATCAAAAACAAGATTTATAAATCTCAAGGAGAGAAGTAGTGTAAGGATGACTTCTGCCACAGGTAGACCAAGTTTATCGAATGGGCGTAAAAACCACTGCAGTGCAAATGCTATCTGCTCTGGAGTTGTAGTTGATAGGTAAAGGCTTGCACTTTGAAAGATCTGGTAATCAAAGGACCCCACTCTCATAACACTATACAAGTAATAGCACTCCCCTATGATCATAATGCCATATCTAATATCCAAGAGGCTAAGAACAGAAAGGCTTAAAAACATCACAAGTAGAAGAGTGATTGCATCACCCTCCACCTTTAGTTTGTTTTAGACAGAAATAGCTCATTAATTTGGAAAAAATGGGAAAATTATATGCATAGACATAAAGAAAAATACACAATACATTTCTGCAAACAGGGCCATTTTTGTTTTGTTTTACTAATGACTCATTCATTCCTAGAAGAAGAATTATCAACTATTTTTATTCTTTGGTTACGTCTAAATGAGTCATATCCTGAGGAAGAAAAGATAATCCAATTCGTGCACATGACACACGTTCTACTCATATTTATTGAAATTTCCTAGAAAAAATTAGTTCAGTTGAAATTAACTACACCAGTGAATGCAAAGGAGGCATGATAATCACATTTGAATATTTGATTCATTAATGAACATGCTTCATTTTTAAAATCTACCCAAGACTGGCAGGGCTGCATCAGGACCATTTAACTGATATATAAGCTTACTATTAGGTTAAAGAGAGGGTCAAATTCCAGTTCCACTTACTGTGAAGGTTAAACATGCTGATGTGGTTGCTGTTAATAACCCCTTTCTGGTAATTTGCAGTGGTCCCATTTTAAAAACTACATACGAATAACCTTCGAAAGATGCTGGAAATTTCGGTAGCCCTGTAACTGAAGGTGGAGGAGTTCTTGAATATACAAGGGAAGGTGCAGAGTCTGTACTCAGGGCTAACACTATAAACAAAACCCCACACAGTATTGAAACTCTTCCTAGTTGGTCCTATCAAAACATAATACATTACAATGATCAGAAGATCTTTCCACCATAAAAAGAAATGATAAATTAGGAACACATAAGCAACCAGTAATTGTTGAAAATCCATTCAGTCCTTCGGAGGTGTTTATGCATTAGTTATATTACATACAGCCTTCAGATGTCAACATACCTGCCATACTTCATTAGGTTGGATCTGTATAGTTAATATAGCCAAGGAGACAATGAGACCAACACGCAGAACAGTATTCGACCTTGCTGGTAAAATAACTAGAGTAAGTAGCCATGCCTGCATAGCATGCACTAATCAGTACAATGAAGTAACTTAGTCCTGCTCTTTTCTCAATCAGAAGTAGTAATCTTTTGCGATGGATTCCATTAAAATGAACTTCATTTTCTGTGAAACATTTCTCATTCATTTTTCTACCATGTCCGGACTTGTGCAGTAAGAAAACATACAACAACAACATTACCGAGAGCCACAAAGGCCCCCACCTATGGTGGATTGGTGGGGTAAGGGGGTCGGATGTACGCAGTCTTATCCCTGTACTAAAGCATAGGAAGACTATTTCCGGATGACCCATGATGACAATCGCGTCACAAAGAAGAGCAGACAGTTTACTGAGACATTTTGCTTTATTCCATCATATTCCCCAGCCAAAAAAATAGTGAGTCTTTGGCTCCAATGGAAATGAACAGGCTCGTCTCACATATGGCTCTAGACGTCCTCAAATTTTGAAAATATACTTTACAGTATTTACAATGTTTATTTTTTTTCGATTAAATCTACTTCGGAGTTTTATCTAGATAAAATTGCACATACTTTTCTACAATAAAAGCTCTATTTTTTATAATTAGCCCAAACTTTTAAGAATTTCTTGATTATGAAGTAAATAAGAAATCCTTATGCATATTAACATTGTATATTATTTAGCAGTTTAACAGCCCAACAGCTCATAATAGTAAAGAAAGACACTTATTTTCCTTTACATATAGGCATAAATCTAAAAGTGAACACCCAGGTGAACCCCCATCAGCAGGAACATGATCCATAGGTACCGTTCTAACCGGAAAACATAATTATCGTAAAGAGATAAACAGATAAGTCCGAAATGGTTAGAACTACGTACCAATTTGATTCTGGGGTCAGTAGAGTGCAAGAAAGTGGTAGGGGAAGAGATGTACTGAGCAATGGGGCTAGAGGTTGCTCCAGATATGAGTCTAAACACTTTCTCAGCTCCAAGAACGTTTTTTGGTGTCCACTTTTCCAGTAATTGTTTCCAGTTTTCATGCGAACCTTCAATGTTACTGCTTTTATCTGCACATAGAAAAGTGGGTCGGTGGGGGGTTTGTCTTTTCAGAGAGTTCGGGGCGAGTCGGTGCTTGTAGATGGAGGGAGTAAAATATCTGATGCTTGTTATAGCTGGGGTGCTATGGAGGAGTTGAGGAAACATTGACAATGGCTGATAGAGAAACAAGGATTGCAGGCATAGGGATTTGGGTTCGTGGTATGATCCGAATTATCACCCGAACTTCAAACAAGTCCCACCCAGGAGTCCCATCCATAACAACCCAGAAAAATGTCATATTTCTGAATTTATTGGAGAATTTGAATTCGGATGGAAAATCCTAAATTCTTAATTGTTAAAATAGGACTAAACTTTAAAAAATTCCTAAATGTGAATTATTATCTATAGTTAGACAAAAACGTCTTTGGAGCCCTCGAAAATGAACTGCCGCTGACAGAACCTAACCCGCCGCTCAGAATTGGATGCCTCTGATATAGATCTTATCATCGCCGGTGCAGATCTGGCTGTTGCTGTCGTAAATCTGACCATATCTGTCCGCTCTCAGCCGCCGGCCATGCAAATCTGACTGCCTTCGTTGGATGTCCGGCCGTCGCCAGTGCAGATTCGGCTGACCCCGCCACTAATGCCAACATTTTTCTCAGAATGACAAAATTAATCAAGAATGCCATCTTATGGCATTTTCGAAAGAAATTTCGAAAAATTTTGAAGTGTAAAAGTGCCATTTTGATGGCATTTCAGATTAAAATTTGGCAATTTGAAACACCAAAGAAGAAATAGAGCACAAATGTGCGATGAAACAAAAGAGGGGAAGAGAGAAACATATGAGAGGAGGAGGAGGAGGAGGAGGAAGAAGGGGAAGATACTCCGGCTATAGATCTGGACTGCTACTCACTCACCCGTTGCTTGGCTCTGCGCCTCTGCTCGCCTCTATTGTTTGTTGCTGCTCGCCGCATCGAGAAGCTCACTATTGCAGGTCAACCAGAGGAGATGAATGGAGAAAAGACACACCATAGCACCCTGAGATATGAGTAGGTCAAAGAAGAGTAGCTGATGCAGGAGAAGAAATTAGGAATGAATTGAAGAGGAGTTGATTTGTCTGGAGAAGGTGCGTAGCAGGGGAAGATGAGTTATGTCTGGAGAAGGTGTAGAAGGGAGCCGACGCGTGTAGAAGAGGGGCCGATCCGAGTAGAAGAGGGTAAATTTGGAACAATACTCCTATTTGGAGAATAAAATTATATCTACTCCTATTTAGGAATTTCAGCAACAATTTTGTCTTATTTAGGGCAATACCACTAAAATATTTCAATTTATCTTTGATGGACTAGTAAACATTAAAATTTTAAAATTAAACAAGTACTTTAACTTTTAATCAATATATATATATAAAAGAGGAACTTTTTAAGAGCATACGGCGCGCCACATAATCCTGCCATGTCATCATATATTACAATTATTTAATTACTATTTATACGTTTTATTGTTTTTATTACATTCTATTTTTATTGCATATTGATATAGAAACAAAAGATCGTATGATAGAATCCACCTTATTTGGTAACTTTTTCAGAATCTACTACTTACTCCATATTAATATGGATATTTATTAAAATATATATAAAAGAGGAATTTTAAGAGCATCTGACGTGCCACATAATCCTGCCACATTATTTGGTAACTTTTTCAGAATCTACTACTTACTCCGTAGTAATATGGATTGTTATTAAAATAAGCAATTATTGCAACCACAACAATAAATAGTCATCCGTGCACATAGACTTTATTTAATTTAATTATTTTATACTTTTATTTTTATTATATTCTATTGAGAAGTGAATTATCCGTGTTTTGCGCACCTAACAAATAAATCATCCAAGTTCCTATCAATTTTGTTCTTCAAAGTTATTTTATAAATAAAGTAATAATAGTGTTCCATTTCCTAAAAAGTACGGAGTAATATTTTATTTTTCTAAACTCAATTTTTTGAATGTTTTCTAAACTCAATGTGATAATGACTAAAGTTATCAGACTTATATTTGCAATTGTGTTAATACTTCGTATTTTTCTGCATCATCATACCATTCTTTCTTAATTGTTGAGATAATGATGAAAATTATAACCACAAATTTTTTAACTTAAAAATGAAATTGATATATACTATTATACATTCATATATGAAAACATTTAAAACTTCTGATCAAGTATCTAACCTTTATAAGGATGGAAATGGAAATTCATATCATACATATATGAATACGTTTAGCCCAGCAAAAAAAGTAAACATATTTAGTTGTTTCTTTATTTTTACAACTACAATTTAGATTTTCCTTCACTTTTGGCATAGATTCCTAATCTAAATTAGGAAATCTTCATACATTTAGGGTGTTTTTAATTGGACTGGTTTCAGTCTTAGACAAGATCGGATCAAATATCAATCATTATTATTATTATTATTATTATTATTATTATTATTATTATTATTATTATTATTATTATTATTATTATTATTATTATTATTATTATTATTATTATTATTATTATTATTATTATTATTATTATTATTATTATTATTATTATTATTATTATTATTATTATTATTATTATTATTATTATTATTATTATTATTATTATTATTATTATTATTATTATTATTATTATTATTATTATTATTATTATTATTATTATTATTATTATTATTATTATTATTATTATTATTATTATTATTATTATTATTATTATTATTATTATTATTATTATTATTATTATTATTATTATTATTATTATTATTATTATTATTATTATTATTATTATTATTATTATTATTATTATTATTATTATTATTATTATTATTATTATTATTATTATTATTATTATTATTATTATTATTATTATTATTATTATTATTATTATTATTATTATTATTATTATTATTATTATTATTATTATTATTATTATTATTATTATTATTATTATTATTATTATTATTATTATTATTATTATTATTATTATTATTATTATTATTATTATTATTATTATTATTATTATTATTATTATTATTATTATTATTATTATTATTACTATTATTATTATTATTATTATTATTATTATTATTATTATTATTATTATTATTATTATTATTATTATTATTATTATTATTATTATTATTATTATTATTATTATTATTATTATTATTATTATTATTATTATTATTATTATTATTATTATTATTATTATTATTATTATTATTATTATTATTATTATTATTATTATTATTATTATTATTATTATTATTATTATTATTATTATTATTATTATTATTATTATTATTATTATTATTATTATTATTATTATTATTATTATTATTATTATTATTATTATTATTATTATTATTATTATTATTATTATTATTATTATTATTATTATTATTATTATTATTATTATTATTATTATTATTATTATTATTATTATTATTATTATTATTATTATTATTATTATTATTATTATTATTATTACTACTACTACTACTACTACTACTACTACTACTACTACTACTACTACTACTACTACTACTACTACTACTATTATTATTATTACTAATATTATTATTATTATTATACATAAAATAGACATCTTCCAGACCAAGTTAGAAATGAACATGTCAATCTAATTAAAAATATCCTTATTAATGACAATTTCAATGTGACGAAATAAATGAGTAAATTATAAAAATGATCCCTTTTTTACATTTCAATGTGACAAAATAATGAGTACAATGTAAGAGCTCACTAATAAATTTACAAATACTTATCTCATACCACATGTTGAATGAGAAATATTTAAAAATAGTTTTTTAGATGCTTAATGAAGTAATATAGAGGATGTGAAATTAATTAAGAAACTTTTGTATGAATTCTTTAAAATCGGGTTCATAACCATTATGTTTAGTTGAGATGCTTATGTAGAAGTCCAATTTAAATATTTTTCATATAAATTTGAATTACTTTTATTAAATATATATGATTTCAAAAATATCAAATTAAATATACAGTTAGCTAAATTATGTACTACCCGTGCATCGCACGGGCTTGAAAGCTAGTTTGTCAAATATAGATAGAAAACTTGGCAAAAATGATTTTATGAATTGTTAACTTTTGATTTAAACTTGTTAAATTTGTTAAAGAAAGATCAAAATACGTGATGTTTGATATAGTGTTTACTTTTTTAGATATTTCAATTGAACATATATTCAAATACGTAAAATTGAGAATCATGAGACATTTCACAAAATTTGTAATGAAATAAGTTAATTCATTGTAATGTCAATGGTTAGGTTTTGTATTTATAGACTTTGATAATATTACATTATTTCTATTTTATTATAAAATAGAAAATAGACTTTGATACATCAATTTCGTTTCGCGTGTAAATTTAGCATATAGCAGTGTTTTGCAAGATTTGTAATGAATATTTAAGGGTTTTGATATGAATATTACCAAAAAAGAGGTAATGGACAAAAAAGTAACCTTTTTTTCTACATTTAAAAAATATGAGTAATGAACAATTACTTTTCCAAATTACCCTTTGTAAGTCATCACTGGAATGCAAATGCGTACCCAATGCATTTCGTACATGGATAACTTTAAACCGTTTACAAATCCCTACGAAAGCACTGCCGTTGCAAACATTAAAAAATTAATGATTCTTTTGATTTTTCAATTCCTTTTGAATATACATATTTGGATATGGAAATATAGGGTTTCTTAAATATTTAAATTATTACACTAAAGTTTACACCAAAGTTTTTGTGAAAATTATCTTAGTTACTATCGCTCCAGTGACCGCCGTCTGAGTTACTATCGCTCCAGTGACCGCCGTCTGAGTTACTATCGCTCCAGTGATCATCGTCTCAATTACTATCGCTATACTGATCACTGTACGAGTTACTACTACTACTCCAGCGGTCACCGTCCCAAGAACTACCGCTCCAGTGACCACCGTCCCAGTTACTACCGCTCCAGTGACCACTGTCCCAGTTACTACCGCGCTCTAGTGATCACCGTTCCAGTTACTACCGCTCCAGTGACCACTATCCCAGTTACTACCGCTTCAGTGACCACCGTCTCAGTTAATAGCGCTCCACTGACCACCGTCCCTGTTACTACCGCTACAGTAACCATTCTCCCAGTTAGTACCGCTCCAGTGACCTCCGTCCTAATTACTATTGCTCCAGTGACTTCCGTCCTAATTACTACCGCTCCAATTACCAATG